ATTATTTTTAAAACTTTAAATAAATGATTAAGTCTTTGTTAAACTGAAATACTAATTATCAAGGAATTGTTAAAAATAAAGTTTTATTATTACAAAAACCTGTGTTTTTTTATCATCAAACCATAATCACCCTGTCATTATCTACCTTCCCCTATATGATAAAACAACTCAAATGATATGCCTGTTACAAGTAACAAAAGTCATATAATATACAATTTTTTACATTATTTTTATTAGTGTTGTGGCGCATTGGGTAAACAGATTTAGCATAGTATTGCTGTTAGATACCGAAGCCAAAAGCTACACGTGGCTCCACCATACAGATTACGCCATTTTGGAGCGAACCTCGTAGCTAAGTTAAGATACATCATTTAATGTTTTACGCATATCATTGCTAATTATATTTTACATCTTAAATGTAATGAATTTCGACAAAGAAACATCAGATTTTGTTAATTGCCAGTCATTGATTAATGTTTAGTAGTTTAGTAGGCTTAGAGGTTACCATTATAACAAAATAAAGTGCAATACAAATCTAAATTAAAACTCAATATCCCAATAAGCAATGCGATACATTCCCAAATAAGAAAATACGGATGTTGAAGAATTTATGAAGTTGACTAGAGAAGAGCTGATTCAAAGCATTGCCAAGTGCCAACTCAATATTTATTATCTATTATGACAATAAATATAAAAATAAATAAAACGCAGAAACACTTCAATTGCAAATAACAATCAATAAAACATAACCCAAGGCGAGAAAAAATGTGGCGGTTAAAGAAATAATTACATGATTAAAGAAGACCAATTATGGAGAAGTCAGGAAACGTTAAAGTTTTTAATTATCAAGTATGACAATTATTTATAAAGAAATAAACAAGTACGAATAAACACGGTGAGGAATTAACTTAATCGTACTTAATTCAATTAATAACATGATAGTGTATTCTTAGTGTGGTCTTGGACTATCTTAATATATATAAATTACGTGTCACGTTGTTTGTCCGCGATGAACTCCTAAACTACTTAACCGATTTTAATCGTAATTTGCACACCGTGTGCAGTTTGGTCCAACTTGAGAGATAGGATAGTTTTTTCCCGTGAGTGACATAAAAGTTTTTTTTTTGCGAATTTAAGGATTTTTAATAGGTCATAACAAGAATCGTCGAAAAAGGCAGAACAACGTCTGCCTGGCAAGCTAGTATATTATAAAACTCGTCAAAAAACAAATCAACTATTAGCTGCTCGTCTATTACTACGTAATAATAATAACAGTGGTACATACATGCTGTGTGCGTGTGTGTGGATTGGTGTGCGTGTGTGTGTGTGTGTTTGTGTGTGTGCGTTTGTGTGTGTGTGTGTGTGTGTGTGTGTGTGTGTGTGTGTGTGTGTGTGTGTGTGTGTGTGTGTGTGTGTGTGTGTGTGTGTGTGTTTGTTTGTTAATTACTTTAGATGATTTAGTTGATTGTTTTCATCGATCCTTTAAAACAAAGTACGTGAGGGTAATATGGTCACCTTAAGCTTTGCCTTCCTATAAAACTAAAACTTAGAGGAGGACAAAGACAAAAATACAAAGTCGTATACTATCTAAATATATTAACAAACAAGCTTTGGCAATGATTATGAACATTTCAAAAATTCAACTTAATAAAACTCACTACACTATACAATACTAAAATTGACTAAAATATTTATAATAATTTCAACTGTCTAAATAGAGTCGCTGAAGTAGTGCCTTTTTGACCCTTTATTATTTGATTGACCGAATGGCAGTGATTAGAGTGAAGTCATTAGAGGCATATTGGAAGTAGATTGAATGAGATGGCACAGGATCTGTTTAATCATGATAAATATCATGAATCGTTTGCGATATTTTAACAAAGTAATAATTAACCTTATTTTAGGAAATAGAATAAATGTGGCCCTACACTCTATTATGAAGAGTCAAAATGTGTCGAAAAAGGCACGTATGGCAATTCACAATGCTATGTTGGTCCCTACTTTAACGTATGGTAGTGAAATTTGGGTGTGGCAGAAGAAGCACGAGAGTAGAATGAACGCAGTAGAAATGCGGTCGTTAAGGAGTATGTTAGGGCTGAATCTGAATGACAGAGTAAGAAATTGTGTAATAAGAGAAGAGTGTGGTTTACAAGATGATGTTGAGACCAGGATTAAGAAAGGAATGCTTCGGTGGTTTGGTCATGTGGAAAGAATGAATGAGGAAAGAGTGACAAAGAAAATTTATGTTGCAGAAGTGAATGGCAGAGTCGGAAAGGGACGTCCTAGGCGAAAATGTATCGACCAAATTGGCGATTTATTGAAAACGGACCAAATTAGGAGTACCCTTAACCGACGAGCATGTATGCGTAGGTGTATGGATGTGAAGGAGGCGAGAGAGGTGTGTCAGGATCGTGCCAAATGGAAGTCCGTAGTCTCTGCCTACCCCTCTGGGTGACAGGCGTGAGTGTTTATGTTATGTTTATGTTTTATGTTAACCTTATTTTGTATTAGCTTATTTTATACGTGGTAGAACCACGCTGCAGCTATATTATGGTTGTAGCACGAATGGGTCGGCTCGACCGGGGCAGGACCACGCTCTCACAGAGTACCAGCGGTTTCGTATGGTGAGTATAGAGATCCGGAGACACTTTTTTACTAGAAATTAGACATGATAAATTTAGATGTCTGTGGACTACAGCATCCACTTACCATCAGGTGAACTGTATGCACGTGTTGTCATCGTTATTCTATTTTAAAAAAAACGAAATACTACTATATACGAGCATCTCCTATAATATTACCACACATTAGTACGCATCTAAAAAAATATATAAAATGTAAGAAATATTTAATTGCAGTTATTATTAATAATTCTAATTAAAAATATTTTCGTTTTAAATAGCTACAAAAATAAAAATAAGAAAAATGGCTATACTCAATCTGGCCTTTAATATAAAATATAAAAATATTTATGCTGTCGATTAAGATAGTAAAAAAGAATGCAGTATATACTTTCGACATTCGCAAAATAGTTTTTTATTTTGTGATATAGCCGCACTGCGTCTATACTTGACCGGGTAAGGATCACGCTCCTGCAGAATACTAGCGTAAAATAGCAGTTAAATGCCCTAAGCACGGTAAGTGTATAGAATCGGAGACCTAATTTACTGGTAATGAGATATAATGTCTTTGTCCTCAGGGTAATAACGCCTCTACATTTTAATTTTAAATGTATGATAAATATATGTTTCTACGAAGCCGCAGCGTCCAGTTACCATCAGGAGAACTGCATGCATGTTTGTCAACCTATCCTATAAAAAAAGTGTGCACACATTCCACCTGATGGTAAGTGGTGTTTGCCCATAGCCACTTAGTCTATAAAAGAAACTCAAGACTTATGACATGAATAAAACTAAATTTACGGATTTTGTCGCGTTTATTTAACTGATTTTACTTATTTTTAATTCCCGACGTTTCGGGTGCTTTACAGCACCCATGGTCACGGGGTGGACTTAGATGTTTGACATTTCACAGTTGATTCCCCACACACAGTATTTCCACAGTAGATTTTACTTAAAAATAAGTAAAATCAGTTAAATAAACGCGATAAAATCCGTAAATTTAGTTTTATTCAATGTGTAGTGTTCGAGTAAATTTAAGAAATCACTTATGACCTGAATTTCTTTTTCAAATTCATTCAAATTACAGATTATACATAATCAGTTTCCCGCCAACCACTCACTCGGTCAAGCCGAAAGATAACTTTGATATCGTCAATATACTCAAAGGACATAAAAAATCCATTCAAATAATTTGAAGCCCGAGTCGTTAACTTTTCCAAGCTAACCATGTTTTGATGGATTGTGGTAAGGTCAGTAGCCTTTTACCTTTTTTTGACATCGAGAGAGAGAGGTTTAGAGTTTTTGTGAGTTAGAGCCGTGCCTTTTGTGGGTGCCTAATGCGACGTTTTTGCTGCATCTTTTACGGCATGATACTTTTTGAGTACGCAGTGACAAAAACATGAGATTCGTTAACGCTTTGTTGAGATCTTAATTAGGTTTAAGACCCACTGTCAACGATTTGTTGTCGATATTTGTTAATGCTCATTCTCATATTGAACAAACTCACATCACCAGCACCAATTTGCGACAGTCTTCTGACAAGGTGACCCAGACTGACTCAAGGTGGTCTTTACGTGGTAGAGCCATGCTGCAATTATATTAATTGTATAGTTGTAGCACGAATGGGTCGGCTCGACCGGGGAAGGACCACGCTCTCACAGTATACCAGCGTAAAATAGCAGCTTAATGCTACTGTGTTTCGTATGGTGAGTGTAGAGAACCGGAGACCCTTTTTACTAGAAAATCTTATTATATATTCCATCTTAGTCCTCACGGCTGACTACACATCTGCATTTTGATTCGCAAAAGAGGATACATGTAGATGTCTATGGGCCACAGCAACCACTTACCATCAGGTGGACTGTGTGCTCGTTTGTCACCTTTATGCTATAAAAAAGGTGCACCACATAACCCGATATTATCAAGTGTACATTATGTCGACTTAAGTCTTAGTTTTTTTTTAATTATGGTAAAACGCAGTTGTATTAAGATACAAGATAAATTAATTAAAACTTTAATGTTACTTATAAATATATAAAAGAATATAATATAAAGTCAATTTACAAACTATATATGGGCACTACTGGGCACAGGCCTCCTTTGTTACCTGATAGCGTTTTAGATCAGTATATGATGACGAAAAGTACCTGTTATTCCTTACGCATACTGGTTTCTTCACGATGTTTTCCTTTCAACTTCGGACACTTTTATCACTAATATATTATATTATTAAAAATATATATTGAAAAGTTCAGTACAATCGACTGTAGGGCACAAAAATGTATGTTGGATCATTTACGAGTTTCTGATACCAACACCAATTAAAATAAGCAAATAAACTAAATATAAATTAAAAATAAATAAATGGGTTTGTCTCACGTTGCAGCCGTGAGCCGGTCCCGTACTTACTTCGTCCTAAAACAAAAGAGAAAAAATTATTAGAATTTTCTTTAAATAATTGCACAACCAAATAAAATGTTTAACTATATAAATATTAAATTAAGCACATAGAATATAATATTTTATAATGTAAGCTATAATGTATATTATTATATTTTAACTAGGTGTTCCCCGGGCCTTACCCCGCGCCTAATTTAGGATTGTAGTATTTTTGGGCGGAACTCCAATTCATTTTCTAAAATAAAAGTAAGTCTAAGTTACTCTTTATAACATCAGCTATCTGTCAATGAAAGTCCCGCCGAAATCGGTTTATCCATGTCGGAGATTAGCCGAAGTATCTTTGTTAGGTCGAAACTTTAAGAGAGAATTGTTGCTAACCAACTTTGAAACGTATTAGATCCTATAAAAAAAAGTCATACACAATGAATAATTATTACAGAAATCTAAAGATTGTTTTGCAAGACCTATTCAATGATACCCCACTTGATATAATTCATTGAATTTTTTTTCTTTTTTACAATACTGCGTCTGGTTGTCACCATACTGAGTTTTGATTAATGTTATGTCTTTAGTGACACTAACAAAATTATACCGTATGTTTGTAATTAACCTAAGATTAAGACTAATGATTGACGTAAGAATCATCAAAATCGGCTGCAACAAATACAAACATACACACTACATATAGGCTGATAAACACATTACCCTGCTACGACGCGCAGTCGAGTAAAAATATATATTGGCATGTCAAAAATTCACTGCACTTTTCGACCATTTTATACATATATTCGATATCAGCCGATTGCTTTCGAGAGATCTTACAATCCAATGCTTTCCTCAATTCCCACGAAGCTTGTGGAATACCAAATTAATCGTAAACTATTTTAGTACAACATCGTAAACAAAGGCAAAGAAACGAGAGAAAAAGAGTACAAGAGAACTTCGTTTCAAGTTGAAATATAAATTTATGAAATAAAATATTGGGATTAAAGTTTTAGCCTATATAATGTCTATTGCTGATTTTAGCCCTTCTCCATAGGTTGCCTTAGTTAAAGTTACGGCCTATATACGTCCCACTGGTGGGTACAGGCCTTCTCTCATTTCTGGGAGGGTTAGATTGTCTCACAGGGTGATATTTGCTATTGTTGTCAGTCTTTATGTCTACAAATGTTTGTTGCGGGTCTGAGTGTTCGTACATATGCAAAAAACGCAAGCGCACGCAAAAGATGCCCGCACGCATGCAACCACGACGTAGGAGAAAATCCTCCTGTGGGGGAAAATATTTTTTTAAGAAATAGATGACACCCTCGCCCCGTATCCGGCCCGGTCATGACGTTAGCCTCGTTAATTGTGATAAAGCTCTACGTATAGGTGAGTAGATAGAAAAGAAAAGAATTTTGAAGTGAAAACTTCTTTAGCGGCGTTGTACACTTTTTTGTAATGGGTAAAAAATGTTAAACTAGCGTCAGGACACGTGACCCTGATCGAAAATTCGTAAGACGGATGGAGAGAGAGAGACAGCCGGCGCGGCGTAGGAATGGAAGTAACCCCTCTCTTTCTACGGCGCGGCGAAAATGTATGCCTGCGCTTGCTGTTTCGTTTCATTCGCGGCGCAGGGCGAATGTTCGTGTGTGATAATTAAAGCAATTCGTGCAAAATTATTCCCTAATCATTCCAAAATATCAAAAACGCACAACGTTAATACTCAAGTTTTCACTTCTGCCGGCACTCCCGGAGTGCAACACGTCGTTTTTTTTTATAGTATAAGTGTGACAAATGAGCTTACTCCACCTGATGTGAAGGTGAAGGTTGACGACTCCGTGGCGCAGTGGCTTAGCAATGAGTGGCTGCGCTTGGGGGTCGCGGGTTCGAATCCCGCACGGAACAAGTATTTGTATGGCCTACCAATAATTGTTCCGGGTCTGGATGTTTGTCCTTGTGCAATTTATTTTTGTAAACTGCCCCCACGATACAGGAGAAAATCCTAGAGTAGGGGTAACGTTTTCTAAAAAAGAAAAAAAAATGCTGTGGCTCGTAGGTAGGAAAATGTAGATGCATTGTCGTCCCTAAGGACTAATATGGAATGTCTCCATATGAAACGCAGCAGCATCAAGCTGCTATTTAACACTGGTATGCTGTGAAGGTCATAGTGTTGCAAACATAATAAAGCGCTGCAGCGTGGCTCTACCGCAGTAAGATAAGCTGCAGAGCGAATGGGTTAAATTAATTGAAGATAAACTATGCTCGCACGGAATGCCAGAATGAAATATCAGCATACAGCTACTAAGTTTGTAAATTTTTGTCAATTTTAAGTAACGAGAACCGAAGATTCTTTTTTTACTGGTAACAGGTATACCACTTTCAGTCACAGGGTGGACATCTAGTCTGCATTTAGACACTTAAATGATAAAAGACATGCGCCACGGTGTTCACACACAAATAGGTGTACTGTTTGCTCGTTTTATCATCCACATTTCTAAAAAAATATGATTGACCATTTCTTTTATATGTAAGAGATGGAAAAAGAGCACGCTGCTCACTTGATGGTAAGTGATTACCACCGCCCATCAACAACTACAACACCAAGGAATTGCAGATGCGTTGCCGGCCTTTTAAAAAAGGGTACGCTCTTTCTTGACCGTATTGTAAAGCTCTAGATTTATTTCAGAAAGCGATTAAAGTTGTTATAATATCTTTGCCCAAAAAGCAATGTAAGCTAACTTACATTGTTTTTGGGCAAAGATATTATAAGAAATTTAATGTAACTTACATTGTTTTTTGGGAAAAGATATTATAAGATCAGTAATATTATTTAATCATAAAAGTATTTCAATCTTAGTACCCTATGGCTTCTGATACACGAGCGGTAACCAAACAACAACAGATCTAAAAAAGCGAGACCGATAAATTAAATCAAAGGAATTAACGCATGTTCAACCTTTTTCTACTCGGTTTTATAGTGTGTATAGATCCTAAAACTGGAACGGGAAGGCGCTCCGTGACGTCACCGACCACCCACGGACATCACCGACTAATTAAGACATTATGCGTAGTTACACGATATTATCTCCGCGTGGGACGGCTCTGAAGGCCACTTAGGAATTCCATTGCTCTTGGAGACCTCATTTCGGCTTTTAACAGGCTAATTAGTGTTTTGAAGGGGAGCGGCGAAAATTTCGTAGTGTTTGACCATGTAACGTATGTCCATTAGATATCTGCAGAAAAATACGGGGAAAAATAAAGTAGTTTTGTGGGAAATTATTAATATTGCATCTAATATGAGGCTTTTGAATAAAGGTGATCTTATTTAGAAGTAAAGGTGGCTAACGATTACGTAGAATGTGATATGAATAATACTTAAAAAAATTTAAATAAACGCCGTCTATGGGCCAAAGCAAAAGAACCCACTCCTTTTTAAAAGGATGGCAATGCATCCGTAATTCCTCTGGTATTGCAGTTGTTCATGGGCGATCGTAACCACTAACCATCAGGTGAGCCGTATGCTCGTTTTCCCCCTCTCCTATAAAAAAGCAGCATTCACTTATCATCGTGTCACTTATACGGTGTGGTGGCGGTATAAGAATATCCAGTACCTCATACCATCAGGTGAGTGTCCTAAGAGGCTGCACAGGGAAATAAATCAGGAGGTTGGCAGGAGTGTCTTTCTAATAACGACAAAAAATAAAAAAATAAACTGCGGTTGCCAACCCACATGCAAATTATCTACGGGGGGGGGGGGCTTATTTTCAGCAGTATACCCTTGTAGTCTGTAACGGAAACTGATTTGTTTTCGTATAAAATTATTCAATATAAATTGACAATTTCGATACTTTATCCCCTAATATTTTCTTCATCATTTCTTTATTTGGTTTTATTTAAAATAAAGGAAATTCTTACACTAAAATTTTACATAATATATAAATTGCTTGTAAGACTAAAATACGCTTAGTCAAACTCACTCAGAATACTGCACTGTAACACCCTGTTTATGTCATGACGCCACGCGGAACGAAAAACTCTGATTTGTACCATTATACCCGTTTGAAATTTCAGGATACAGAGAGCTATGCCAAGTGTGATCTAAACAAAATTTTATAGAAAAATTTCGGTTTCTTTTTGGAAAAACAGATATAGTGCATTGGGGTAAGATCGGTGATGGGGTAAGACTGTAAAATTCAAATTTCCGGTGAATTATGCTATATTTTTCAAAGCTAGCAATGTGGTACAGGACTCCATTTTATTCTGCCCCGACCCCAAGTTTCAGCCAGTCGCTCCGAAAAGTAGGGCGTGCTGCGCAGTATTTTATAAAACAAGGTAATTTTTGTATTTTTTTCGTCCGTCCGGTCTTTCCCTATCACTTTTATTTGCGATTTTTTGCGACGTCTGGTCTTCCTCTTGATGGCCAATTCTTCACCATGCATATAAAAAATTATGCCTTGTCTTCGCTCTTCGCACACGTTTTAAGCAGAAACTGTTGAGTGTAACCATTAACGATTTGCGCCATGTTTCAGAAGTCTGATGTATATGGATGTCGAGAAAACAAAGTTTTTGTCCGACTCTTTTAACTAGTCGAAAATCGTCCGGTATTACTCTAACGCACCTTATATATATATATATACACATACATATATATATTATATATATATATATATATATATATATATATATAAAAGGTAAAAATATATGTGTTTGACTTTCATAAATCCAAGGAACGCGACATTAATACATAGATTCTACCTTCGCGAAGCCACAGCGTACTTAATATGTAACCAATTTTTAAAATATTAATGCAAACGTCATTAAGCACACAATACGTTTGATATAGAAAATAATTTCCCAAGTAATTGTATACGCAACATTTATTATCAAAACGTCGCACAATAATAGTAAATATCCGCGAGCGGAAGTCAACTTATCATAGACTACGATCTACACTTCACTTTTCGTTACGAATTAGCTTTGATCAAACCGCTTTTATGAATATCATAGACTATAAAACATGAGAGCACTAGAGATAGAGAGCACTAAATATACATAACCAATGATTGCCATTCAGTGTTTATAACTTTCAATCAATATTAATTATCACATTTTATTTATTAAATTATATCTTCTTGGGATGCTTAAGGTTCCTTATCCGTCGCTAAAGTATATACCTATGTATTACATTTAACAACAAAAAATATACAGACAGGAAATAAAAACGAAATCAAATAACGTTAAAAAAGAATGATTATGAAATCAAAATATTCGAACAAGACGGTACCATAAATCTTTATCAGGCAAATATCAATTATTTTTTTTTTATTATTTAAGCCGATTTTCATTTAATTGTAATGGAATTCAATCGGATATTTTATCGGCAAGCAGTAATAATAGGTCGCTTATTGAAGCAAATGTCTTCATTACAGAACTTCGTTGGTGGCGCGGACGTGTTAAAAGACCCAGCAGGGTTTTTGTTTCAGTTTAAAACAACGGGAAGTACCTAGGTATTTACGTTTAATGAAATTAATTTATGCACCGTGTCATTGATGTTTGGATATGTTTGGAATATTTTCACGTTAGTTATTGTTACCAATGGTACCATAATACACCCGTATTAGTAATACATAGTTTTGATTTAAATGATGTTTTAAAATCACAGTAGTTAAAAGGTAGTATATTATATTAGTTAAAGGTAGTATAAATTAAATTTTTAATAAACTTTTAGTTTCTTGCCAAGTCAATTTTAAAATAAATACATATTTAGATTATCGAATAGCTTTTGTGAGAACAAATGAGAATTCATAAATAGCTTGAAATACATGGTAGCACGTCGTCTCGACCGAGGAAGGACAGTACAAACTTGCACAGGATACCAGCGTGAAATAGCAGCATAATGTTGGTGTGTTTCGTATCGTGAGTGAAGACAGGTCCTTTTTATGGGTGAAGAGGCGTTACATCTTAGTCCTCAGGGGTGATAAATCTAGATTTTGATTCTTAATAAGAGATAGATGTAGTTGTCTATGGGCTACAACATTAATTTACCATCAGTTACAATGTGTGCTCGTTTGTCACTCTCTAATTTAAAAAAAAGTCAGTGTTAAGTGACCTGGAATTTCAAACAAAGAAGGTGTAGTCAGTGCTATAATGCTCTTTATCTCTTCAGACCTGTAAACCATAACACGTAGGTCACTCAATTAGTTTTGAGATGCTCAAAATTTAAAAAGGGTACGCACCCGTGTTATATGTTTCTAAAAAGCAAATTTATTTAAAAATAGAACTCCATAAGCAAATTGCTCAATATTAAAAAAAAAACAAAGTTCTATTAATTTTCCTGCAACCATCGATATATATGTACTACGCACTACTCGTATTGTCTTCCGCATGGACTCTGGGGTCCTGCAGGTCTCGGGCCTCGGGGTATGCCCCCATTACCCGGATTGTCCTCGCGGTCCACCACTATGGACCGGTCCTGGGAGCCTTATTCAGGCGTTGCAAGTATCAAAATCGGATTTAGTCCGTAATCGGTAAATTTATTCGTAGTCGGTTAAGACTACGAAAAAAAAGGAGGTTGTCCGGTGAAAGTCAAGGTTGGCCTATCAGCGGCATTGAGGGTTGTTACTCGACTCTCTAATCGATATAGAGAGGAGTTCTCTTGGATAGGGTCACTCGTCCGGAGGGCAAGTGTGTAGCGGCGCTAGGTGGTTAAGATGTATGTGTGGCCCGTTGTCTGCATTGTCGAACAGTCCACGCGCCAACCAGGCCACAAACTCCTGGATGGTTTCGAATTTCAGGTTGGCCGCTATGACGTCATTCCGGACGTAGCGACCCGCTCCGACGATGGTTCTTAACGCCAAATTTTGCTGAGCCTGCAGTCGCCGCCTTAGAGGCTCGCTCAGAAGCGCGTACCAGGCTGGAGCAGCGTAGGTGATGATCGGTCTTATATATATTTTGTATATCCTCACTTTTGTTTTAAGTGGCTTGGCGTTTAACTTGGATGCCAGGACCGGACGGAGCATCGCCCGCGCACATCGTGCTCTGCGGACGACGAAGTCGACGTGCGCAGCCATGCGCAGCGCCCGGTCGATTCGGCACCCAAGGTAGGTCACGGCCTTCTCGTACGCGATCTTCTGGCCATTGAGGGTTAACGGAGGTGGTAGGTTCCTGAGGCGGCGGGTGAGCAGAGCGGTCGTCTTACCAACGTTGACGACCATCCTCCACTCATCTAGCCATGGTGGCGACAGGTCCAGCAGACGTTGCATCCTGGCAGTGGCAATGTGGGCTCTTCTGGACGAGGTGAAATAAGCGTCCGCATATAACGCCAATTCCACGTCATCCTCCCACTCTTGCAGCCTTCCTGCCAGTGTTGGGATGTCGTTGGTATAAGCCGCGTACAGGACTGGAGACAAACAGCTGCCCTGAGGAACGCCGGCTCTGATGGTTCTGGTTGCGGACACGGCGTCCTCTACGCAGACGTAGAACTTCCTGTCTGCCAGGAAAGACGCCACTATCCGCAACATAGAAGGAGGGACACTGGTCTGTTCTTCCAATTTATAAAGTAATCCAGAATGACACACCCTGTCGAACACCTTCTCGATATCGAGAAAGACGCCCAACGTAGTGCGGCCATGGTTGTACTCGGCCGCAAGCAGGTGCAGCACTCTGGTCAGCTGTGTTGCTGTAGAGTGATCTCTCCTGAATCCGTGCTGCACCGCCCGAAGTTGGATGCACGTACGGAGGCGTCTTAATAACAGTCTTTCAAGCAGTTTAGCTATGTGCGGTAGCAGCGTGATCGGCCTATAGCTGGCAGTTCTACGCCTGTCCTTCCCGGGTTTCGGCAAGACGATAACTTTGCCTTTCTTCCAGTCCTCTGGGAAGTGGGATGTCCGCAATATCCCATTGTAGAGTCGACCAAGCTCTACTAGGACTCTATGGGGCAGCTGTCGGAGTGCAGCGTTGGTAATCCCATCGTGCCCCGGCGCCTTTCTCGGCTGCAGGCGGGTTACTGTCCTCCGTAGTTCAGCGGGGGAGATGAACCACTCTCCTGCCAGAGGCGGCGTGGGCGATGACAGGAACTCCTGTACGCGACTCTCCTTCCGGGCATGAAGCTCCATGAACTCCGCACTTGCTGGGTTCGGCATAAATTGCTCCTCGAAGTGCTCTCCTAGGATATCCGCTCTACCCTTGGCATCGTAACGACGTTCGCCCGCGTTGTTGGTCAGCGGGCAAACGGGAGGTTTGGCTTTAGTTAACTGTCTGTTCAGTTTGTAGAGCGACGCATCATGCTCTTCCGCCTTCCATATGCGTCGCTCCCAGGCATCTCCTCTGTGTGCCTGGACTGCAACCGACAGTTCCTCCGACAAGGTGTTCAACTGCGTTTTGATTCTCGGTCAGAGGGTACGCGCCCAGAGCCTCCTCAACGCTCTTTTCCTTTTGATCTGCACGCTTATCTGTAGCGGCAGATCGTCTCTCCTTGCAGTAATCGGGACGATCGTAGAGGCAGCATGGAGGGCCTCTTGTATCACCTTAGAAATTCTGATAGCAGCGGCCTCTACGTCGTCCGCTGTGCTTAAGGGGTGGTGTGCTAGAGGTCTCTCCTGTAGGTGTTGATGGTAGAGCCTCCAGTCGACACGTGTCTTAAATGCTCTGGGCGGCGTAGTCACCGCCTTTAGGCCAAGGGTAATCAAGATCGGGAGGTGCTGTGAATTCAGGTCGTACAGCACCTCTACTACTATCGGGTAGTTGACGTTCCTAGAGAGCACGATTTCCAATACATCCGGACGACTCCGTGGATCTGTCGGAACGTGTGTGGGTTCTTCGCGACCTAAGACGTCGTAGCCGTATCTTTCGGCGTCTTCAAACAGTGCATGACCCGGCGGGTTGATCACTCTGGACCCCCATGCCGGGTGTTTGGCGTTTAGGTCTCCGGCGATGATGGTCGGAGTTTCGCCTTCCATCACCGTCTGGACGTCTGAGGAGCAGAATGGAGTCCCTGGCGGGCGGTATGCTGCGTAGATCCTAAGTTCCTCGCCCGCCACCTCCATTTTTAT